GAATGATGGCTTAATTCTGTAGTTCATGTTAAATGAGTTAAAATCATCATTGAGGTTTTGTGTTAAATCCCTATTTTTCAACAAGGATTTTGGATAGATCTCAGTTGTGTCTCCTTTGCTTTGTTAAAGTAGCAAATCATATTGTTTTTGTTGAGTACCATCCAGTCAAGTACAACTCATAGGAACCTTATGAACAATAGATCTGAATTCCGTCCTACCCTGTGCCATCCTTGTCATCCTCAATGCATTTAAGTCCATTGTCACAGACGGTGGATGAAGGTCTTCCTCTCTTTTGCTAACTTCCCACCTTTCCAAGAATGATGTCCCTTTTCAAGGAATAGCCTCTCCTAAAATAACATTTCAAATTATGTGAGATGAAGTGTCACTATCTTTTCCTCCAAGAATCATTCTAGTTTCACTTTCTGTTGCTTCTCTTGGCAGGCCATGGGATAACCAGTACTCTCATCCAATTCCACAATTCAAATGCATTGATTCTTTTCCTTCCATCCTTATTTATTATCTAGGTCTTTGATGTATATCAAGTGATTTGAAATATTATACCTTGAATTAGGCACATGTTAGTCTTTAAACTAACATCACTGCTCTTCATGTCTTTGGAGAAATTCCTGATGGCAGAGTTTCCAATGTTATATGTCTCCTAATCTACTGCTTGTACCAAAGAGACAATGGTGATGGAGGAAGAATTTTAAGTTGCATTGAAGACACTGGCAAAACATAAAGCCCCAAGAATCAATGAGACACCAATTGACATGTTCCAAATAAGAGATGAAGCCCTGGATGTGCTTACTAGTAGATGATAGGAAAACTGAATGACAGCTACCTGGCCAACTGACTGGAAGAGATCCATATTTATACCCTTTTCCATGAAAGGTGATCCAACAGAATGTAGAAATTATCAAACAATATGCTTAATACCACATGAAAACAAAATATTGATGAGGATTATTAAAAAATAGTTGACATTGACAGGGAACTGTTAGAAGTTCATGCTGGGTTTAGAAGAAGGCTATGGCAACAGGGTGTTATTGTTGATGTCAGATCTTGGTTGAGAGCAGAGAATATCAGAAGAATGTCTATTTGTGTTTTATTGACTATGCAAAGACATTTGTGTGGATCACAACAAACCTTGAGATGAATGGGAAGCTGTTGTCCAAGCAGAGCAAGGGAACACTGCATAGTTTAAAATTAAGAAGGTGGCAATGAAGGAGTGAAAGCCCAGAATCCCTGTGAATGTTCATTGAAACTAATAAAATTTAATAATAATTAAAAAAAATAAAATTAAGAAGGTGTGTCAGGGGTATATCCTCTCTTCTTATCTATCCAGTCTTAATGCTGAGCAAATTATTAGAGAAGCTAGACTTTATGAAGAAAAATGTGGCATCAGGATTACAGGAAGTTTCATCAACAAACTGCATTATGCTGATGACACACTTTGCTTTCTAATTTTGAGGAGAACCTGAAGTGTCTGCTGCAGAAGATCAAGGACTACAACTACTGCCTTTAATATGAATTACATCTGAACATCAAGTAACCAAAAATCCTTACCACTGTACTAATAGGTAAAATCATGATAAATGGAGAAAAGATTTAAATTGTAAACAATTTTATCTTTTTTTGAGCCCTAGTCAACACCATTAATACCAGCAATAATTGACTGTATAGACGTTTAATTTTTAGAAGTTAACCACCTGAAACTTCCTCATTTATAACTTTATTTTTATGTTGTTGTTATTATGTGCCATTGAGTCACTAGCATATCAGATCTAGAGGAGACATCACCCTTATCTGGCAAATTATCCTACTGGGATAGCAGTGTGTTGCAAACAGAAGAGCAGAGAAACTAGATCACAAGAAGACAGTCCTGGAGTGTCTTCAGCTCCTAGAACCACCTTAGACAGAAATCCTTCCCTAAATGTAGTACCTGGGATTTAGACTGAGAGCCTCCTAAACTCAAGATAGACTGGCAGCAGTGTGAGAGACGGCAGCAGTGCCAAGCACAAAGCATTACAGAACTGACTGAGGCCCAAGTCACCATATCAAGAGTTGGCTAGACACAGTAGGCATCAAAGGGGATGCTGATGGTTATTTTTACAGAAGCATTAATATTTTTCTGCTCCTAGGGTTACTACAAGCTATAGTTTACCCACATAACAACAACAACAGATATTTTTCCTATTTTACAAACAATCAAACAAATCCATTGTCTTGGCGTCTTTTTGGTTTCTAAGTCTATAAATCTTTATAGGACTGTCCATTATCTTCCTGTAGATTGGAATGTTTTTTGTTAGCACATAGCTAAATCATCAGATTGCCTTTCCTGTTTTAAGTAAAACTACAGTTGTTATTATATGCCAGTCAAATTGACTGAGACTCAGTAATCTTATGTACAATAGCTCTGAACCCTGCCCTATTCTGGGTCAATCTCACTGTCCTCTATTACCTCAGTTACCGAGTCAATTCATCTTATCCAGAGTCTTCCTCTCTTTTACTGTCTGTCCACCCTTCCAAGCATGATGTCCTTGCCAAGGACTAGTCCCTCCTGGCAAATTGCCCAAAAGATGTGAGATGGAATGTCAAAATCCTTGCCTCCGAGGAGGAACTTGGTTTCACCCTGTCCTCTCTCATTGTTGTCAAGCTCTGGTGACCTAGTGATAAGAAGCTGTGCTGCAATCTCAAAGGCCTGTGTTTCAATGCATGCACAGGGCAGGAGAAGAATGGGCAATCTTCTCCAGAATGATTTAACTGCCTCTGAATACCTGCTAGAAGGTCAGCTATGAGTTGGTTCCAACTGCACACAACAACATTGCCATTGCATCTAAAACAACTCAGATGACCTTCAGAAGCTGTAAGTTGCATGGGAGGACATTGTGCAAAGGATTCAGATCTGGGCCCAATCATTGAGTCAATCCATCTCATCCAGGGGTCTTCCTCTCTTGCGCTGTCCCTCCACTCTCCCAAGCATGATGTCCATCTCCAACGACTGGTCCCTCTTTCCAACGTGCCCAAAGTATGATAGATGGAGCTTCACAAAACTTGCCTCCAAGGACCAGCCCGGTTTCACCCTCTGGACCTGTTTGTTCTCTTAGCAGACCATGGTATAGTCAATACTCTTCTCCAGCACCACAACTCAAAGGCATTAATTCCTCTTCTATCACCCTTAGTCCAGCTCTCTCATGCATAGCTAGTAATTGTGAAGACTATGGCCTGGGTCAGGGACACCTTAGTCTCTAGACTGACATCATTGCTGCTCAGTACTCTGGAGAGGTTGCTGACAGATTTTCCCAATGCAATTACTCTTTTGATTTCCTGACTGCTGGTACCAAGAGTGTTGACTGTGGAGCCAAGCAAGATGAAGCTGTTAACAATCTCAAGAGGAGAATATAGTATAGGACGTATAAGGTATGAGGTTAGAATTCACCAGTTGATACTGGAGAAACATAAGCAATCTCCTCTCATGTGAGGGCTAGCTGTGGGTCAGTTCCGACTAGACAGAACACAACAGGAAGTGCAAAGACATTTATATTCCTCAAGGGAGAATATTTTATATTCTTTACTTCAGTAATCTGTGCTGGGAGGCAGTTTACTTTTGCAGAATTTGCTATCACATTGTTTAAATCCACTGACCTTCCCAGGTTCCCCCCTCCCGGCTCCCCGAGCTTAAAAACACCTGTGAAAGAGTTGGGTCTGGTTCACTGATAATCTGGAAGGGAAGCTGAGCAGTTCGATTTTTTCCGTAGTGCAGTTCTCTATTTCCCCCTGCTCCCCCCCCCCCCCCCAACTCATTCTTAGTAACAGTTCAGGTTGAGAGAGTCAGGAATGACAGTGAACACAGGATTGTGATTTGTCCTTCAGTCTTCACCTAAGCGCTGACACGGTAGCAGTGCAGTGGTCTGAATACCCAGGTGGCGCCTGTGGGCTTGGCCTGGCCCTCTTCTGCGGCAGTGATACCGCGCGTCTCTTGCACTGCGGGTGTTGGGGGAATGATGGGGGAAAGCTGTGGTTAGTCTTTCCCCAGGAAGGGGGTGACAGACACCGATTCAAAGAGTTTCAGTGCTCGGGAGACGGCGGCTGAGTGGAATAAGCCATTTATGGAGAAGCCTTTCTCCAAATCTTGATAAGCGGGATTTAGCCACAAAGCTCCGCAGGGGAGGGAGGGCAAGAAGGTGTGGGAGGCGACGAGAGGTGTAAACAGCAGCTCAGCTGCGCTCTAGGCGCTTTCGTCTCCTTGAAAGCCCTTCTTCCTAAGAGATTGTTTTACACCCACACGAACAAGACATTTTCTAGCATTCTCCGAACGTCACCACTTCATTTTAAGGGTGAGGAAACGGCTCACATTTGCAGATGCAAACTCCTCTCCTGGAAGAACCTTTGCTAAGAGTCAGGGTGGGAGGGAGGCGGGGCGCGGGGAGAAGGGGGCGGCGGCCCAAGAGGCTGTGGCGGTCTCCGTCTTGGTCCGGCTGGGGAGCTCTCTTTGGATGGTGGAGGAGGTGGGGCGACGGCCGGGCGCTGAAATTGGGCGGCGGGGTCGGAGCTTCCGCCGGCTTCCGTGCGTGCGGCTGCCGTGTCCCCACGGGGACCCTTGCCCCGGGAGGGCTTCGGTGAGTCAGCCCTGCAGTTGTTGCAATCGCCAGTCTCTGGGTGACTTAGGTGGGGCGGGGCGCATTGCTGGCCCGGCGGTTCGCGCTCCAGCTGCGCCTCGGTGTCACTACCCTCGCCCCCGCCAACTCCTGGCCTTTCTGGACAGCGCACGGTGCGGTGGCTACGTCCCCGGCCGGAGCTTCTAGCGGAGAAAGAGTTAACTGGCGAGGCCGAGGAGGAGCCCTTCGAGGGAGGAAGGAAATTGCCATAGTTCTGAAAGTTTTTTCCTGCTCCTCTTCTTTCCCCTGCAGTGCTGGGCGCCAGGCGGTGGCGGCGCTGATTCGCGGGAGCCCGGCTCCGGCTCCGACCTCGACCTCGGCGCGCCGAGCTCCGGCCTCGGCCTGGGACCTCCTCTGTGAACCTTCTCCGACAAGGTGCGCGAGCCGCGAGCCATGGAGGGCGCAGAACTGGTGGTCAAGATCCTGTCCACCTGGCTGACTCTGGTGCTCGGCCTCATCGTCTTACCGTCGGCGCTCGGAGTGTCTTTGGGCATCTCCGAACTGTATATGAAAATCCTGGTGAAAACTTTTAAGGTGAGAGCCGGAGGGATGCCGCGCGACTGCCCTTTCAAGGGAAAACCCGGGGCAGTGGGGACCAACTCAGCGTGCTGGACCCTGGAGGCCGATGCTCGGCGGGAAAGGTGTGCTGTTGGATTTCACCTCCTTAGCAGCTTGAAGACAGCATCTCAGCTTCTCATATAGAGCTGGAGAGAACTAATTTTGAGCCCCCTACACACTCTTGTGCCTCTGGTGGGAGAGAGAAGGCGGAACCAACCCTTAATCCAATTTATTATTATTTAAAAATTATTCCTTTCAACTGTATCGGTGGATTAACCTCCTACTGTCTCTTGCCCCACCTCCAATTGATTAACCGGGGTAGCTGCCCCTTCATTCTCATGGGTTTTTATAGCCCCAAGTTTCAGAGGCCCTTTCGTGTACGAGTTCATCTTGACCAGAAAGGCATCAGGTGAATTCTGTTTTATGCTCATGATAAGATACTTATTGCTGTGAGGCAGAAAGGAATCTGATTCCATTTTAGTGGAGTCATGGAAATTTTATCTAATCAAGGGCCCTTGCAAAGGTGCATTCTTTGACCTCATGTCTTCCTAGAAAAGTTTTTAGATAGAAGTACTTTTCACAGAGCAACATTGCAGTTTGTTGTTATTTGGGTAAGGCTTTATTAAAAAAGATAATGAACACTGCTTTGTAACTGCTTAAGGAATACTTGAGTAGACATTTATGACAACAATCTGGAACAAGAGGGCGATGCAAAGTAGACTGGAGGAGGGAGAGGGAGGGAAATGTGCAACAATGAATGAATGGAAAAAAAAATAAATTACAAAGTGCTCTGGTGACCTCATGAGTAAGGACTTGTACTACAACACAATGGTGGTGGTGGTGTTGTTATGTGTCATCGAGTCGCTTGCTACTCATAGCGACCCTATGTACAACAGCCCTAATATCTGCTCTGTCCTGTGCCAATTGCACTGCCTCTGACACACCCATCCCGATTACCCCAGACACTGAATCAATCCACCTCATAGAGGGCCTTCCCCTCCTGCGCTGTCCCTCCCAAGCATGATGTCCCTCTCCAAGGACCTGTCCCTCCTTACAACATGTCCAAAGTATGTTAGACAAAGCTTCCGAATCCTTGCCTCCAAGGAGCCCAGTTTCACTCTCTCCAAGATGAATCTGTTTGTTTTCCTAGCAGTCCATGGTATTCTCAATACTCTTCTCCAGCACCACAGCTCAAAGGCATCAATTTTCCTTCTATCCTCCTTAGTCACTGTCCAACTCTCTGATGCATAACGTACAAACACAAAGGTAGGCAGGTCAAATCCACCAGATGCTTTGCCTCTAAAAACCCTCAGAATTGTCAGTGAGGAGTAGCTTTGAGCTGAGTTCAACCCTTGACTATCTCACTGGTATCTCAATAGCCCTGTGAGGTAGAGAGAAAAATTGAAGCTCAGAAGATCCGTTGTTTTCCTGAATTATGTCGTAGAAATAGGGTCATAACCAAAGAGGAGTCAGTTAATGGCTAAGGATACAGAGGCGAGATTTGGATTTGTTTAGATTTAAATATCAGTGCTGCTTCTCTTAGTGGTGTAGTCGTTAAGTGGTAGGCCACCAACTGAAAGCAGAGCAGACAAGATAGATGTGGTAATCTGGTTCTGTAAAGATTTAAGGCCTTGCATACTCTGTGGAAAAATTCTTCTCTGTCCTATAGAAAAATTCTCTGCATTATGAGTTGGAATTAGTTTTGTTTCTCAGTGTGTAACCTTGGATTATCACATTCTGTACCTTATTTCCCTCTCTATACAATAGGAACCCTCTGCTATTAAGTCATTTTGACTCATGATGACCCTCCATCGGGTTTTCACGATTAAATTTTTAAGAGAGGAGACCACCTCATCTTTCTCCCTTGACATGGCGTGTGGATTTGAACTGCCAACCTTTTTATTAGCAGCTTAACACTGGTAACAATAATAACTATTTCCCCCATAAGATTATTATTATGTGGTTTAAATGATTAAGCTGATGAGTGTTTTAGAAGGGTGCCTGCATATATTAGATTTTTTTTTGCTGCAATTAAAAAATAGCATTTAGATTCTAGCTACCTTGTTTCCTTAAATTTGACAATACAATTGCTGTTGGGTAGATTCCTACTTGGTGTGGTCCCATGTGTGAAAGAGCAGAACTATGCTTGCTTCATAAAGAGTATGTGTGTGTGTTTGTGGTTTTATTTCCTCTGAACATTTTGTTGTAGCTTAAAGTTTATACAGCAAATCAGTTTCCCATTCAATAGTTTATACATATTTTGTTTTGTGACATTATGTGCAATCCTGTCAATGTAACAATATCCTTCTTACCCTGGTTTCCCTATTTCCACTTTTCTCTCTGTCTTTCTGCACCTTCCTGCCTTCTAACTCTTGTTTTTTGGTAAATGGTGCTCTTTTGATCTTACATGACTGATTGTTCTCATTGTTATTGTTCCCTTTCATTGTTGTTGCTAGGTGCTGTCAAGTTGGCCATAACTCATATCTATCTAAAGTTTGCCCTATCCTGTGCCATCTTCATCATCTCTGATACATTGTTATTGTTGATTGCCTCCGAGTCTAGAACAACTCATAGTGACCCCATGAACACAAGGCCTAAAGCCCCTCTACAACCATCGAAATGTATCAAAGTTCATAGAGTTTCCAGAGGCATGTTATTTAGGAAGTGGATGCCACTCCTGCTTCCAAGCTGTCATAGTATGTTATTATTAGGTGCCATTGTGTTGCCTGCGATGTATAGCGACCCTATGTACAGCAGCTCTGAATTCTGTCCTGTCCTGAGCCATTCTCACTAACTCTGACATACCAAACCTTATCTCCCCAGTTATTTATATCAATCCATCTCATTGGGGTCTCCTTCTCCTGCGCTGTCTGTCCACCCTTCCGAGTATGATGTCCTTCTCCAAGGACTGATCTCTCCTGGTCACGTGTCCAAAGTAAGGCAGAGCTTCAAAATCCCATCCTACAAGGAGAGACTTGGTTTTACCCTCTCCAAGACAGACCTATTATCTGTTTTCTTGGTGGTCCAGGGTATGTTCAAGACTCTTCTCCAGCAGCACAACTCGAAGGCATCAATTTTTCTTCTATCATCCTTAGTCAACACCAACTCTCTGAAGCATAACGAGTAACTGAGAAGACCATGGCCTGATATACTTGAGCCTTTTGCTATAGTCACTGTGTCAACCTATCTTGTTGAGGGTCTACCTCCTTTTCATCACTCTTGTACCTTTCCAAGCATCATGTCTTTTTCCTACAACTGGCTCCTCCTAACAACATGACCAAAGTGTGTGAGACAAAGCCCTTCCATCTTTGCCTCCAAGGACAACTCTGGCTGCTTTGAAATGGTATCAATAATTTATTATGCTCAACACACTCGAATGCCTTTGCATAGTTAATAGAACATAGGTAAACATCTTTCTGATAGTCTGTGCTTTCAGCCAGGTCCATTTCACCTCTGTAATGATATCCCACATCCTCTTTTGAATGAATACAGCTTGATTTTTTTTTTGGCAATTGCCTGTGGATGTTCTAACAGTTTTAAACTTATCTCTGGCAAGCTTTACTTGCCTGTAATATTAATGATACTGTTTAATAACTTCTAAATTCAATTGCATCACCTTTCTTTGGAATAGACACAAAAACTGATCTCTTCCAGTTGGTTTGCCATACTTTCTTTGTGGGGGGACTAGTTAGCATCCCATGGCTGCATCTGTTTTAAAACACTTCAGAGATATTTTGTTAATTCCTAAAGCTCTAATTTTTTTTGGCCATTGCCTTCAGTGAAACTTTTTTTAAATATTTTTTTTATCGTGATTTCAACACTCTTGGAATAAGCAGCCAGGAAATTAAGAAATGCATTGCATTAGGAAAGTCAGCTGTCAGGGACCTCTCCAGAGTGCTGAAAAGCAATGATGTTAGTCTGGAGACTAAGGTGATCCTGATCAAGGCCATAGTCTTCAAGACTGCTTGCTCTATGTCAGAGAACTGGACATGACTAGAGATGATAGAAAGAGAATTGATGCCTTTGAGCTGTGGTGCTGGAGAAGAGTACTGAACATATCATGGACTGCCAGGAGAATAAACAGGTTTATCCTAAAGAGGGTGAAACCAGGCTGCTTCTTGGAGGCAAAGATTCTGAGGCTTTATCTGACATACTTGGGCATGTTGCAAGGAGGGATCAGCCCTTGGAGAAGGACATCATGCTTGGAAGGGTGAAAGGATAGAAAAAGAGAGGGCGTCCATCGATGGAATAGATTGATTCAGTGACTAATGGGGGTAGGAGTGTCAGAGACAATAAAGTTAGCAAAGAATAAAGCAGTTTCAGGGCTGTTGTACTTAGGGTCAATAAGCAACTTGATAGCATATGATAACAACATTTTACTGTGATTTAATGAAGTTTACAGAAAACTTGGATTTCTATTCATTGATTGTTGCACATTTTCCTCCCTATACCCCCAGTTCACTTTTCTCTTTAAAAAATGAATTCATTGTTGCACAATTTCCTCCCTCCCTTCAACCCTAGTCCCTCATGTTATGCACCTCTTATTCTATTGTCATGCAAATAATGTTAATTATATGTTCCTTTTAAACAATTCTTTCCCTCCTCTGTTCCAATGCAGTGTTCATTACTTACTCCTTCTTAGTTCTCTCCCCTCCAAACCCCCATGTCAGTCCTGTTTTATAACAGTGGCACTCTGCAGTATTTGTCCTTTAGTGACCAGGATATTTCATTCGGCATAATGTCCTGCAGGGTCACGCCTTTTGTATACTTTATGACTTCCTTGTTTTTGTAGTATTCCATTGTGTGAATATATCACAGCTTCTCTATCCATTCATTTGTTGATGGAAATTTGGGTTGCTTCCATGTCTTCGCTCTTGTGAAGTATGCAGCAATATACATGAGTGTGCATTTCAGTGAAGCTTTGACTTCTTTATTTGGTACCACTGGTTCTTGATCACATGCTACTTCTGAAATAG